GAAACATTATAAAAAACATGTATATGCATATCTTTTGGGACATGTACAGCAGTAGCTATAACCGTTTTTCAGATATAGGCATTCAAAGAAACGCGGATTTTTTTCTTTGTACCCAGTATAAGGAACGTCATGAAGGTTTTCGATCCGGCCGGATCTAACTACGTTGACTTGTGATGGAAATCCGCCAGAAATTCCTTCATTGAACTTGATAAATTTTCTTTTCCGCGATCCCAAGAGTGTCGAAAGATTTCATTTCATGTTTCAAAAACTAAAAAATTCTATAGGCAGCAGATGACGAATTTTTTCGTTACACATCGAGTCCGATTATGGAACCAGGAGCGCGTTGCCTAATAAACCCGGTAGAAAGAGTAAGTATTTCGAAAGTTAATGATAGAAAGCTTCCAAGGAAGACCTGAGATAGAGGAAAATGCCTGCCGGGAGAAGGTACTCCAATTGATAGTAATTGAATACCATTACGTCATCATTCCTAGGTGATCTTTCCGCTCGGTTGAGCATTTTGCCATCCTGTGAAAGTCCTGCAATTCCTCCCAAGAGAGCGAAGCCGAAACCGCACTATTCCGATAGCCTTGTAACAGTTATCTCCGTTTCTCTCTTTTTTATTTCCTTCTTTCCCACTCGCACGTATATTGAAAACGGAAAAAAAAACGGGGGAAGAAGAAAAAGGCGGAGGAAACGATGGGAAGAGGGGGTGGCTCTTCAGCTACCCATTACAGAAGAATCTGCCGTGCATTTCTAATTGAGTCTTGGAAGATCAATCTCAGGCTCCAGGATTTCCTGCTTGTCGTTCCCCTCCGCTCTCATTGATTTCTTTCTCACTCCCCGAGACGTACAGAAAAAAAGTTTCCCTCTATGATTCAGTCCACGGAGATGCAACTTTCTGGCAATTTTTTTGCATCCCTATGTCCTTAATAAGCTCAACCGTAGGAAACGTGTCGTACTACCTTATACTTTCTGGGTCAGCAATCTATCATTACAAGGGTAGATTGCTCGTTGTCTTAAATGAGGGCATGGTTTGGAAAGATCAAGGTCTTGCCAAGTGCCTTGTATCGTCTAAAAGAATTCAGTCTCAATGGGCGATTGACTCTCCTTCCGTCGCGTTTCAAAGTAAATTATTTATCTCGGAATCTTGAGCTTTGGCGGAAGTGTGGATTGAGATTGAACACGATGCCACAGTTGGTCATGGAAGGAGTAATCGAGTAGTCATGGGTAATCGTGAAGTAATTTGTGCCTTCAAGTGCATCCAGGAATTTTCAGCATCGGTAGTATCGTTTCTTTTCATTTGAGTTATCCTCCGGAGATCATTCGAGACAATATACAGTTTTGTCTTGATTCTGCATGAAATGAAGTGAATATCCTTTGCTCATTCACACTGTTTCAACTTGTATATCCTAACGTAGCACTCAGCAGTCACGGAATTGCGAGCAGGGGGCAACCGAACGCGGAATGGGTGGGTTGGGGAGATCATATCCCCGCCTTGGCTTTGAAGAAAAGATCTGAAATGATACCTGTGTGCTTGTTAGTCATAACAATTGACTTATGAAGAACTCTTCCTGTGGACCAGCAACACACCGCTCGTCATTTAAGTCTATATCGCCCTTCATAAGCACCGTCCCCCCTTCGCTTTAGAATTTTCTGTTTGCGCCCCTGACTGCGAACTTGTTCAATTGGAGCTTACAAGGAAAATACAAACGAAATTCTGGTTCTTTGATGAAGCCTGTTTCTACTTATGTAGGGTAATTTCAGCCGAAGTCTGGGTCATCATGAATGCATGTGGCGGAAACCATTCGAAAACCTTATTGTGGTCATGTGAACGGGTGCGCAGTGAGTATTCGGGGTTTCTACTTTATTTCTGATGCCAACGGAGGACCTTCAACACTTTCATTTAGGTATTTCAGAACCCGTATTATTTGGGGTGGCTGGAGATGGAAATTAAGGTTGGAGATGGAAGAGGAAGGAAGAGAGATTCTGTGGAAAAAGACACGATGGGAGACCAGCCGGTCGCTTGGGCATTGTGTCAATGGGGTTATCTAATGGAAGGCAGAGAGGCCAATCAGGCACAGTGAATCGATTCCCCGTTTCCAAGATAATTTTTTCTTTCTTTCTCCTTCCTCTCTTCCTTTCTTGGTTCGTCGTCGCATTGGTGTGGAGTTTTCCCAAGAGAGAATTCTTTCTCGTCCACCGCAGAGCAATCGAGCGTGGCTTTTCATGCCCCAATGAAAAAAACCTTCAGAGTGAATCGCAGAAAAGAAGCAGTCCTTTTTTTCTCATCACAAGGGATAGTTTAAAAGGGTAAAGAGAAGGGAAATAAGAAAAAAAAAACCCTTTCCGCGGACACACGACTTCATTGTCTAATCTGAAATGCTCTCATTTTATTAAAGGGACTGCTCATTCTCGGCTGTCATTTTTCTTTTGCCATTCGAAGGACTCAGACAGTAATTTGTATAAATGTGTGAATTTTATCATGGACGCGAATAGAACAATTCGGTCATCACGAATTGCGTGAAGAAAAAGACCCGTATCCTGGAAATGATTTCGGTTTGCGTCAACTCTACCCTCTTCATTGATCTAGAGATTATATAAAAAACCAACATTCGAAGAGATGAAGAAATGCGGGATCGTCTTTCCTCCTTAATATGGGTTGATGAAGATCCAAGAAAGAGCAGATAAATCACAGGCCGAATACTGAAGACCCTGGGCAGGGGAAAACGGGGACTTCCGCCCAAAATCGGAGACAAAAGTGTGATAAGGCACCGTAGGGTTTAGGGAGACTTATCATGGTTACGACACGACACGACACTTGCATCTATTGGAGTTACGTGGAAAGGGGTTTGGCCGGAGGTGACAGTGCAAAAATCAGCCGACTGTATAGGCCTATGTCGAAGAAAGGCAAGATGTTCATCCAGGGGAAGGAAGGTTGCGTCAACCATGAGCCCTTGTGTTTTTTTTGTCTTTCTTTTCTTTCTTTCTTTCTTTCTATCTCCCCCTTGCTCAATGGAAGCCTTGTTACACCCAACCGCGAGATTCATTATCCCCTGTCCCCCAAAAAAGACGAACAATGCCAACACCAGCCATGATTGTCAATTGCCTAGCAGCCTTTTTGTTTCCCCCTCCCCCCTCGTCAAATCTGCGTCTAATGTCCGGTCGGATCTCAAGCTTTTTCTAGCGCAATACCATTTCTCCAGCCTTCCATCATATGAACGCGTTGTTGGAGTGTTAGCCCAGGTGTGAGTGAATCAGCTCTGGCTGATGGGTGTGCACACAGAGGTTGGAGGGAATGAATGCATTCCCTCGTCGATGGAGAGACATATAGTTGAGATGGATGGATGGGGATGCAATTACTCTTGAGGATCCTCTTCCATTACGGATCGGATTCATCGGGATGGGTGTATATGGCCCATCAGCGACCCTGTGTATACTGTAGAGCAGGTCATATCACTTTTTATGCCCTATCTCATGGATGGAAAGGGAGAGAGAAAGAGAGAGAGAGAAATCCTGGGGAATATTATGCAGGAGACAGGAAACTTGTATCTCCGCCAAATCATCTCGTCGCATCGTGGACATGAATGGAGGAGACCATTGTGACCTCTGCATTCGTTGACTAAAAGAATTATCGTCATCAGATAGCAGATATCGAATGTTTTGGATATAGGGGAGGTAGATGACGGAGACTGATTTCCGAATACGGGTCCATCCGAGATAAGGGCGATATCATCGGTGGATATGCTATCCATCGATCCCCGTCTCACAAGGGGGAACATCGGCCTCTTCCAAAACCACTGCTGATTTTATAGTAGTTCTCTGTCCCTTCTGTTGCAAGATATGAGTCGTCTATATCATCGGAAAAATTGTTGTGGCCTTTGACAGTTCCTAAACTTGGAGACACATGACGTCATTTAGGTGATCCCAACACATGCATAAAAAACTATTCATTACGGAAGTCTCAGAGTCTGCATTCATGTCAACGGGGCACTTGCATTCATGTCAACAGGGCACTTGACGTAAGAGTCTGATAGTTTTGAAACGTTTACATTTACTTTCATGATTTGCATGGTCTTACACGAGACATCCTGTTAGCGAACACGAATAGGTTGTGTGATATGAAACGCGTAGTTGCATTGATGGTGAAAAGAATGGGGAGTGAAATTGCATAGTAAAAGGCGAAACCAGATCTGAGGAAGCGAAGAGCTCATCCATCTTTCGAGACAATCCGATCGCTCCCTGAGCATGAGACAAATGAGAGAATGATAAAGAGTGAAAAGAAAGCCAGATTCCTGGTTCCAACATTTCCGGGAAATGGATGGGACCTCGGGCATGGAGCCCAAAGCCCCCTGAAAATATCGTATGAAGTCCACGAATGCTGGGATATCTGCTGACTATGGAGAAACAAACAAGAGGAAGTGCCGTGGTTTTCCGATGGCATCAATCTCATCATCGATTCCTCCTCTTCCTCCTTCCGTGGGAATTATGCATGAGGGTGGTCTGGAGAAACCGGTCATCCATCCTTGTTCCCCTCCTTTTCTTTCCTCTCCCTCTTGCCCTATGGAGGCAGATGCATTTCCCTTCCGCCTCATTGCTGGATCCTGTCCTAAAATGCCTATCGGGATCAGGTGCAGCGCGGCCCCGGTCAATAAGTTTCAGCCAAATCCCAGGCCTGAGGCCTTCCACAACCGTGAACGTCGTGTCTCTTCAGGCCCTTACTTCCTGCTATAGGAACGAAACCCCCTTATGCCGCAGTTATGCATTCTGCATTCCTGAAATATAGCGGAACGGTACATGTTGATCCATGTTGATAAATTTTCGGAAAATAAAATTTTAAATTAGTAACATGATTTTCCTGTCCGAAACCTTCGTCACAGCGAATATTTGTCAAGGATGAGGTTGCTTTTAAAGGTCGCTTTTCGTGGTAAAACAGAAGACTTCGTGCATTAATAAGAGTACTTGAGACCTGTCTTTATGTCATCAAAAGCCCATGTTTTTGTATGTACTGTAAGAAGACTTCTTTAGAAGCGTGAATATTTCAGGAACCGAGCCCAGGGAGGTATAGAAATGTTTTCAGTGATCATATATTCTGTATTTACTCGAGCACAAGGAGTATGACCCTTGTTGAATGTTCTCTCTCTTTCCCTCTATGTATATCTCAAGATGAAACAAGTCTATTTTGCCTCTTTCCCTTTGATTATTCCCTCCCTCAAAGGTCCTGAATGAGGACTCTCATTTCCATTTTGTAATCGCGCTGCCCTCACAATTGAGGCAGTTTTGATTCTCTGTCATTCTTTCTCTAATTTATTTTTTTTTTATAAATAGGTGTGGATCGAGAATTATCGGCATATCCGAGGTATCGGGTAGTGGGAGATGCTAGCAAAGGTGAGCATCACTTACAGATCAGTGATGTTCGATTGGAGGATGATGCTGTTTTCGAATGCCAAGTCTCTCCAGAGCCTGGGTCTACCAGAGTTCTTCGAAGCAACGCTACCCTTATTGTCCTTCGTAAGACCTTTTCCCCCCCTCTTGTATGCTAGCTTGTATAAGATCTATGTACCTTACTTGCTACTCCACGAGAAGGTTTTTATGAGCCTTTTATGATTCGATTTTTGACGCAACCTAAATGATCTTTGACATTTTCAATGTGCTCCAAACGTGTGTTCAAATGTGTTCTGAGACATCTTTCGATTTGAATGGGTTATTTTTGCAAGATAAAAACTTATTTGCGGAATCAGTGGCCAAAAATGAGATGAGCGTGTCTCTTACAGTGGGAATAAGATGAAGCCGAATCCCTAAATAGTGTGACACTTACTTGTGAAAGGGATAAGGTCCTGAGTGTCCAGTAAAAAGAAAGCTGGACCGGATTAGTAGCTATTCTCCTTTGAGTGTACGTCGTAGATGGTACATGCGATATACTTTAGATAATATGGGGAAAGAAGGGGGAGGAGGAGAATAGAAGAGGATGCATAGTGACCATGGCACTTGTGGATGGTTGGTGGGCATGGGAAAAGATAGTGACGACAATTCACGGGATTCTTGTTCTATCAGATGTGCGAATTCCATTTTTATTTTATGATACATTTTTCATTGATTAAATGCTTCCAAAACAAAATCGATAGAACTTGTTTGTTCGCGTAAAATTTTGGCGAATTATGAAGCAGTAATAACAGTAATATGCCTCCCAACACTGACGAAAGGTCCGGATTGACAGACGGACATTCGGGCAATTGCTCAAGGGGCGTCGTTCTCTTTTCAAAGAATGAAAAAAATACCTGATATTATTTGAATGAAAGGGGGAGAATTGCAGCCTAGGCAGGAGGCTAACCCGCACACCTCACAAGTCATGTCTGCTAGTCTATCCGTACGGAGCTCTTTTCTGTGCAACGGATACATTTCCAGTGACCGCCATGTCCACCATGGTCCACCTGCAGCCATCCTTAGAAAAATATGAGAGCTGGAGGTATGAGTAGAATGGATCCAAGGTGAAGGGAATTGCAGAAGGGAGAAGAAAAAGAGGATGAACCTGGGTCTCAGGGGCCCAATGCCCTCCTTACTCGAGAGATTCGGAGAGCGAGAGAAAAAAAAAAGCAGAAACGCCTCGTACTGCTCCCATATCTCATTTCACGGTCTTCCAATGACCATCTCAGACTCCGTGCTGTACATCCTCTCATTTCTCCTCCGGAATCGATCCTCAATTGGGAGAGGTGGGCTCGCTCTTCATCCCGACGTTCGCACTGATAAAAAAAAGAAGAGGAAAAGGCAGTGTCGTATATCTCTTTCTCAATTCTACTTCTCTCCCATTATTAGAGTTCGTCAAAAACTTCTGGATTCAGGCGATTGGTTGAATGGATGATACAGGATAGTGATGGAGATTAAAGTTTCATAGAGTTATTCAATATCCTCTCGCAACTTCTAATTCAATCGGACGATTGCGAAAATGCAATGGGATGAATATGTAAATGATGGTGTTTCCCTCATTAGGGAATAGTTATGGCTGATTCTGAAGGAGTTGCTCAATGTGTCTATCAAGAAAATTGTGAGGCTGTCATTTTCTAATACGATTCTTGCGTTGCAAGATGAATCACATCCCTTCCTGAGGCCACCTTTGGGAATGTGGTGATCAGCCAGAACTTTACCATCCCATAGCCAGAAAGCTCACCAGATACTAGTCCATGTTATTTCTTTATTTGAAGTTTCCTCGTAGTGCAAGGCTTGGGGCACTGACATCATTGCTAGAATTCGGAAATACGACCAAAGAAGAGTTCAATCAGATACTCGAAGTCATGCTCTCACATGCTATGGACAGTCTTGAGACAATACTGTACTCTTGTCCAGATAGGGGCGAATCGTACTAATTCTTCAGAACCAACCATGAGAGGAAAAGAAATTCATTCCCGCAATTATTTCTTTGAATTTCTGTTTGTCTGATAGAATAAGGAGCTGTAACATGAAATTGAACATTTTTAGAGCCTTTAATCCTCTCAGATCCAGGAAAAAAAAACTATTTGGCACAGGTACACGCCACTCAGGTTATAGCCGTTTTATTTGAAGTGTTCATTCCACCTGGGAAGACCGATATTATTACATTTTGTTTTGCACTCGTGCAACTTGAGCGCCATCATATGACAGCCATACAGGCAGACAGAGCAGTATCGATTTCGGATTGAACCTGTCCGAAGGCGAAAGAGGACACTCATTGCATTGCATTGCATGTCCTTGCAGTGCCGCCGACGTCGATTGAGATGGAGTGGAGCGGTGAGGGAGAGGGTGTAGTGGAAGTGGAGGAGAAGAAAGTGGTGCAAGTGATTTGCAAAGCCAGGGATGCCAAACCCCCTGCAGAGATTCAGTGGTTCAAAAACGGACGACGGCTCAGCCCCACCCCTGGTAAGTTCTTCTTCAAGTTATCCTCTATAAATCCTTCTGGATAAGAAACGGGATATCTCGACGTGAGAGGAGAATCGATCATGGATGTGATGTAGCAGTATCATCCATATTTGGGGGTATCTGGATATGATCAGTAGAAGTCGGCTGGGAATCATCAATTTCCTGGAAGAGGGATTGGAGGGTGATCGAGTTAGAGGGGGAATTTATAGGGACCATAAAGCGGACCGCAGTTGGAAGAAAAGGAGAGACTCCTTTGCCTCTAATGGAAAATCCTCTGGATTCCCCTCTCTCCTCCCTGTAACATGGTTACCCTCTTCAGAAGGACGGACGGGACCTTTTTCTCTTTTCCTTTTCTTTTCTTGCCTCGTTGTGTCTCGTGCTCTCATGCTACCTATATCTTCATGGAACAAAAGGTACGAAATGGGGGTCCCTGCCCTTGATTGAGGTCTATTGTCCGTAATCGCCTTTATTTTTTTTTCCGACTGTCGGTGGGAGCAGCGAAAGCGTTCTGGAAAGGTGGTGTGAGATGAAATTGTGGAGATGGGACTGAAGCACATTTGGAGGGGAGGGGGGAATCACGCCATGGGGTGGGGACGAAAACCTGGCTTGAAAATGAGTTTCTCACGGGGAACTTCATTCTTGCGTGCTTCTTCCTTCTCTGCACCTGGAAATGGAGCCCGGATATCGAGATGATTTCGCGTGCATCATCGCTCTCTTCTTTCCCCATCTGCTCCACCCTTAATGTCCAAATGCCCACCTCGGTATGAGGAGGGGAGAAAAGTGCACAACATGAGAGTGCTTACGCGGAGGATTCTTCAAGTCCATGTTAGAGAACTATGCTAGGTAATAATAATAGGCAACTTTGTCAGAACGGTATCATGTAAAACAAAATTATTACCACTTCAAAGCGTTTCCAAGTAGGCATGCATTCCTCGCGACGACAGCATCCAGAAACCACAGTTTTTATCTTGCTCTTGAACGATAGAAGGTCAAGGGCAAAATCTGGGGACCCTCTAGATGTCACTTCCTGGAATTAGCGTCTTTGGGAACTGCGACATACGGTATCACACTAAACTGATACAGTCGACTCCGCATAATGGAATACTGCTTAATGGAATACCATTTTACTGTCCTGATTTACGATACGATGCAGAAGATAGTTTCGATTATTGGAATACTCAGGGTTATTGAGTAAAGTTCGCTGGTCCCCGTGAGTGTTCCAATATGCAGAGTCGTCTGTATTTACGTTAGAGCCACCCTCGATCCGGCATTGGCCATGCTCATGGTTCATTTCTGTGTTTTAATTGTGCAGCATGCAATTTTATTTTTTTTTGAAAAAATCGCTCACTCCAGCGCACGCAACGCCAATTCGCACCTTGTCGCGAAAGTGTTTAGCATCGAATAGTCTCGTAGGCCGTGATGTAGCTTCATCAGTCACTGTTTGATCCCTTTTTCAAGGTGCATTTTATTTCAGGAGGGGTCCATTCATGATCGGCGATTCAGTGGCATTCATTATTAGGGACGAATTTACATGCTATAGAAGCACTACGTATTTACGTGCTTCCATGCTCTAAAAAGTACATGAAATATGCAATTAGATTTTTATTTTATCTTTGACGACCGTGTTGTCATACCTCATATTCAGAGCTTTTTTTTTAGAGTTGGTTATACTTTTGCAAAGCACATTGTGGACACGTGCAGCAGGCCTGTTGTGCATTTACAAGGTTTTTACACGGCTGAATATGCTCCCCGCGAAGGATATCCGCTTGAAAGCGAATTGCATACTCACACAAAGCCGCAGGAATGACGTGTGCCATTATGAACAATACTAGAACAGCATGACTGCCATTGTCGTGGACTGGAGACAAGTCGCGAGGTGTACATGTTCGCTTCGATGTGATCATTGTGTTTATCTCTTTCCATATGGAGGAGAAGGAAATAAATATGCATAAGCACATAAATCCGGTCCCTCTTCAATATGAAGGATCCGAGTGAAAGGATGATAATGATTGGTTATAATTAGATCCTGGAAGCTGAAGACAGCAGGTAAAGTCATAACAGGAAAATTGCATCGGAAAGTTCTCGGAGTACACCGTTACCATATACCAATTTTCCGTGAAGTGCAGGATAAAGTATGTGTTTGATGGTGTTCAAACCCTGCAGGCGCCGTCAGATGAACTTTCGATGAGATCGTTGGAGAGACAGCCACCCACATTGACCGAAGGAAATGGACGGGAGTCGCGTGACGAGTTGAAGTTGGCAGGGAGAGATTTGATTTTGCCGTATCAGCGAATCTTTTCATGTGAGGGAGAGAGAGGGGGGGGGGGGAAGCCAACTGGCTTGGGAGAATTCCGCTTTGTCCTCGGAGGACTCTCCATGAAAATGGATCCGCTCTCTCTCGCTCTTCGAGAGGAAGTGAATAGCCGCTCCTGTATTATGCGGAAGCCATTTCCTTCAAACTTTTCTCCTCCTACACGAAGGAACTTGTCCTGTCCAGAAACTTCTCTGCTGACCGAAGTTCTCTGCGGTTGAACTTCTCACCAGACACGGACAGCATGAAGAGTCTTCATGCTCCTCTTTATAGGCACCTGATCCAATTACCCGAACCCATTCCAATCCTCGTGCCTCTTGTCTTTCCCCATCTTTGAAAACTTCGATGTTGAAGAAAGACTTTCAATGGAATCTTCGGTCGCATCAAATGAAGACTTTCACAATTGATTAAGACAAATCCACACTCTAGATAGGATTGCCAACTCTGGGAGGCCCAAGGAGGTTTGTCATATGAGAATAGTGTGCCAGTTTGACCCTTTTGGACTCTCATGTCATAACTGACATACGATTTCAGAAGTTGGAGCACCTATGCCTTCAACAAAGTCTGTGAGCCCATCTGTTCTCGTTATTGTCGCTGCTTGACTTCTGTATGTCTCATACAGATCAATCTGGAGCAAGAGCATCTGAACCGATTTTAGACGAATCTGGGAACAGTTGACTCGACTGATACCTGTGGGAGTACTTGATACTTGGTATCTTGGTACTCAAATATAGGGTGTTCGAATGTTTAGGGGAACATTAAAAGAAAGGCATCCGTAGCATCTTATTCAAAGCATTGCAACAGCACAAGTCTTTTCTCATATACTCCGACTATACAAAAAAGAAGTCATGTATACACATTCACTCTTGATGCCGAATGGGGATAAAGTCGCGTGCATTTAATTCAGTTTCTTTGCCGAGATACATTAGAAATTCGTAAAATACACCGTGTGACAATATTGGGACTTACTTTGACCCTGTCACGGTGACAAGTTGCTACTACTTTCATATGCAACTCGAAAGAGGAACTTTGAAGATTCCTGGTCAACTTCACACAACGTCAAAATTGATTTCGCACGCAAGAGACCCGTGGCTCACACCTCGTTTATCATACATTGTACTGCTAACTGACCCCATGAATATACCTTCTTACCAGCAAGGATTTGATCGATAAGCACGCTATTCATTCATACAATAAACATATTGAATGTATCTACGCCATCCCCACTTCAAAGAAATGACCGAGTGCTCACTCGATCCTCTGAGGTGAATGTAATCTTTTCTTTTTCTTCTCGTGCGCGGGATTCCTCGTCGCGATCACGGCGAATTCCATATTGTCGAAAAGCTTTCCTCGGCTTCGTCGAATCAGCACACAATGCATGGGGACTATTGCAGGAGTCTCGGTTGCTCGATGAGGGAAGGATGGATGATTCTGACCCTCCCCATGCTTCTCGAGTGCTCACTTTTTTTTCGGTATGATGTATTTACTCATTTTTTAAATTTGGTATGGTGTATTTACTTTAGGTTGATGCTTTCGAGAAGTTTCACTTGACCCAATTATTACAAGCTTCCTTGAACATACATACAGAGAATACGATTCTTGCCACATTAAAGGCGGCAGTTTCAAAATGAGAAAGGGTTATTGAAGGGGAAGTAGCGCCCGCGCTATGAAGAGCCTGCAAGAGATGTTCATATTATTGTTCCGGCTTCGAAACTAAGAATGCATATACAACAGGGGTTTTTCAGTCCATCTTCACAGCATGGATTATATAGATCTGATTAAAGAGTTGTGGTGACACGAAGAAGGTCCCATCAGCAACCTCTGTTGGGGTTCTGACGCGAGCTGTACATTTTCTCTAATGGGAAGGAGAAGCATTCTATTCGCATCATCCGGCCCGCTGTCATGAAGGGAGAAAACCCTTTCTTTGTAAATCGCACAACTGTCACCTGGTATTGCGATATCTGCCAAGCTTTGAGGCGTAGCGTAAGGCATCTGCTGCAGACCTGACCTCTCCATGGTACGTTGCAACGATCCTCACATTGCAAGGCGAGTGTCTGCCTCCTCTGTGCAACATATGCATCATGACTAAATGCATTTCGAACTAAATAATCAGCCATTCTATGTCGTTAGAACATTTACTGTACAAGACGGAACTCAACCGAATGTACTCATAACATGTGCAGACGAACACTGGTACTGTTATGATATGCATCTGGAAACTTCGCCGCAATGGCTCAGGCCTCTTAATGGTACTGCCTTTCAATTCGACATCAGTTTCACGATGTAAACTTTAGCTGGGTCATGCGCATGAGATTGCTCGCCGATCGTTGAAATTTATCCATTGCTTGCTTTCGCACGGACTTCGCATCCAATCACATCACTCCGCCAGGATTGCTTCTTGTGAACGGTTAATGCAGAGAAATCCACGACCACTTCGTCCTTTTTTTTTTCTTTGTGAGATGGAAAGTATTTCATTTCATATAGGATACGCAGATAAGGTATATGCTGGAAAAGAGAGTGCGTTGCATGAGACGAGAAAGAAATCTGATAGTTGATAAGGGCGATTTTATAGATGAAATACACTGTCTGGAAGGTTATTAGCTGGAATATTTCCTGAGCGAGAATGAAAATAGGATATTTGGTGTCGGGAATCTTAAGTCATGAGATTATTCAGCCGGGTCATGTACCGGCTTATTATAGGCCCATGGCTGGATAGTGATGCGGCAGATATCA